CTAAGAGCACAGGTTATCAGGAAGGGGAGAGGCACCCCGCAGAAAGACAGCTGCTCGCTGGGGCGGGGCTGCCTGGACAGTGAAGTTCTTGGGGAAGGAACTGCTGTCTGTCTGTCCTTATCTACTACCAATGGCTTCCTTCCAGGGTGTGACTGGGTTGATTGGTGAGGACAGGGCGTCTCCCCAGGCCATCTCCACATCCACCTCTGGCCCAGACACTCGTGCAGCCTCTGCCCTCGCTCCGGCAGCTGCCCTAATCCAAGGGCTTGGTCCACAGCAGACTGTGCCCCTCTTTTCTGCCCTGCCTCTGGCCTCTGGTCTGTGATGCCTCCTTCCCACGTGTTCTCCTCTTAGCCTCCATCACCCCCTTCCCCCACACACACCCCTCAACCATATTGGGTTCAAAATCTTCTGGGGAGTAGAGGAGGGACGGGAGGGGAGGTTCGTCTCCTTCCGTGTGCAGCCTCGCCTGGGTAGGCTGTGGCGTCCCTGCTGCGGGCCTGGGTGGGGTCTCCCGCCGCAGCCCCAGCTAACTCCTGCCGCTGGCTCAAGAAATGTAACGGGGTCCCCAGGAAAAGGGGAGGTGCCAGGTTCCCGCGCCCCCCCCCCCAAAGAGTGAGCTGAGCAGGGAGAGAAGCTGGAGAGGAGCCTGAGGAGGGAGGAGGAGGAGCGGGGCAGGAGGACCTGGAGGATGGAGAGCAGAGACGCGTGGACAGGTGCGCTGGGTCCTGGGTCCTGGCCTGGCTGGGACAGACGCGGTGAGCCCCGGGGGAGGGGACAGCAACAGCTTTTATCTTGATTTTGATTTAGCTCTTTCCTCCCAGACTTGTCTGCTTCTGACCCTTTCCTGCGGGTCCCCGCCGGAAGGGGCTCTGGGCCGTGGCAGCTCTCGGGCCTTGCTCTGGGCCGAGCCTGTTTGGCTGGATATTTACTCACGAGGACATGGGACTGTGGGTGCCGGGCTTGGAAACTATTGTCTTGCCTGTGCCGCACAGCTCGCGGTCTGTTCAGGTGTAGGGTCAGCCTCCCGAGTGTCCTCATCGGGGACTAGTGGTCAGTAGCCTCCGAAGGGGCAGGGCCTTGAAGTGCTCCTCAGAGCCCGAGTCCAGGGCAACAGGCAGGGTCCTGTGCCGCGCACCAGACCGCCGGGGTGGGCTGCGGGACACGCTCCCCCCGCCCCTGGGTTCTCCTGCTCTCAGGCTGAGGACGGAGCCACTGTTTCTCCCGCAGCTGCTTCCCAGACAGTTTTGAGAAACCCACATTGGCCCAGTTTTCAAGAGCAGATCTATGTTTTTAACAAGGCTCAGCAACGCCAGGAGGACCAGACTTTTTGAGTTAACTGAAGCCGCAGTGGGGCCCGAGACACCTGGCCACGGCCTGCCGCCTGGCCGGGCTGGACGCTTCAGTGCTTTTTTGCAGGTGGACATGGGAGGTTTGGTTCTGGCGGGTCAGAGCTTATCTTACCTTTACAGCAAGCCCTGGGGCTCAGTCATCAGGCCTGGTAGGGCTCTCTGCGCAGCCCCTCTGCAGCCCCACCTCTGCCATGCTGATGGGGAACACCGGCCTCGGTTCCCTCGGCCAATGAAAGGAAGCAGAGTTTGAGGAGAGGGAAAGTAGTTTAATTTGTTGACAAACTGAGGAAAGCAGCGGACTCGCAACCCAAAGACTCCGCCTGCTCCTGGGCAGAGGGCAGGGGTGCTCACATAAAGGAGTAGAACCACAGGGAGAAGACGCTGGTCGGCCTGACCCCCGGATGCGGGCAACAGAGATCCAGGTGGCTCCTGCCTGCTTTGCCAACACCTGACGGTCACCTTCCTGGGAATGCTTAACCCCTATCCTGTCCTCCTGGGGCCCTTGGTCACTAGGCCCCGCAAGAAGACAAGCCTGTCGCAGGCAGTAGGTAGGGATGCTGTCTAATGGGGCAGGACGAGGGACCGTCCCATCTCACTGCACCCTGCGCCTTAGACGTGTGGCAAGATTTTGGGCCTCAGTGGCCCCGCTTTGGACCAGCCCTGGCTCGCTGGGCATTTACCCACGAGGGAACAGGCGACTTTGGGTGCTTCCTGGGAAACGAGTCTTCCTCTCTGTTGACTCTGACTAACAGGCCTTCCTAGTCAAGGTTTTACGCGCTGAGTATGTTTTGTCTTGATGTGGCAAATGGCATTTTGAGCAGGCAGGTTTGGGGGTCCTGGGGCACCCCCCAGTCTGCCTACATCGGCCTCCAGCCCTGGCCCTGGGGCCTCCTGCCGTGGAAGGCGGCGTCCTCTGGCAGGAGGGCTGCCTGCCGGCTGGGCTGTCCCTGTGCGGCCCGGGAAGGAGGTGTTAGGGGGAAAAGGATGTCCCAAAGCTAATTCCATACAGGCTTTGTGGACTCCACCCCCACCCCAGGTCAAAGCCAAAGACACTGGGAACTCCAAATCCCATCCCCACGAGGGACGTCTGAGCGAGGCCGGGCCGGCGCGTGTGGTCGATGGGCCGTGGTATCGAGGGCACCTGAGTCACTTCCCTGGACTCGGGCACTGTCTTTGGTGCTGGGTCAGCGCGGGCTGGGTCTGCACGGGCGCCCCAACCGCGGGGCCCTGCTCGCCGGCGCAGGAGTGTGTCTCAGCCAGGCCCGGGGCAGGCGCTGGACCCGGGCAGCGGGCGGGCGGGCGGCGAGGAGTGGGCGGGCGGCCACAGAGCCCACAGGCGCCAGGAGGCGCCGAGGTGGCCGGGGCCGGGGCCAGGTGCCCGGCCCGCCCGCGGGAAGCGGCAGGCGGCGGCCTCGGCCCCGGCGCGGGGACCGGGACAGGCACTGCCCGCTGCGGCCCGGCCGGGCCGGCCTCCACCCTCGGCCTGGCCCTGGGGAGCACGAGGGCGGCGGGGCTTGGACCCCGATGCAGCTGGGATGGGGCTGCGGGCCCCGGTCTCCACAGGGTCCTGCTCAGCGGGCGGCGCCGGCCGTGGTCCCTGGGGAGGGGGTGGGGGGCGGGGCGGTGCCGGAGCCGGGGCGGGCGCACGGTGGCCCCTCGGCGGGGGCGGGGAAGGCTCTGGGGCGCAGCTCCGCAGCTAGGGGGCCCCCCGCCCCGTCTTCTGTGCCTGGGAGATGCTGTCTCCATCCCGGGAGAGGCGGGAGCAGGGCGGGCTGGGGCGCTCCTGGGGCACAGCTGAGCCCATGGCTTCCGACGTGATGGCCCGGCCCTGCTCCGGAATGTCTGCTCTTCCCGCCCCTGCCCGCCGGGAAGGCGCCCTTGCCAGTGGCCGGGGGTCCGGCCTGCGCTCGGCCTGACCTCCTCGGGCTGGTGGTGTGCCTGGGGCGAAACCGTCAGCCCCCCTTGGGGGGCATTTACTCTTTATGGGGGTCCCCTGCCACTCGTGGAGCGGGCAGCCAGGAGACCACCCCGCCCAGGGCCCTCGTGAGGCCTGCACGCCAGGCGCCCGGGCCTCACGCAGCTGGAGGTGAGGCCGTGGGACGGGCCAGGCAGCCGGGCCCCCTGGCATGGCACGATGGGGGTTCAAGGGCCAGAGGGTCGGCGGAAACAGAGGGGGGGTGGCTTGTTCGCCGGCAGGGCTTGGCAGGTGTCTGCCCGCCTGGAGCTGGGCAGCGGGGTACCCCGCAGTGCCCTGGTGGGTCCCCGGAGGGGGCAGGAGGCAGGGTTCATCCCAGGGCAGCACGGGGGACACCAGCCCCATGGCGGCTGAGGCTCGAGGGAAGACCAGTCGGGCAGAGCTCCATCGTGCTACAAATGTGGCAACACCTTTTTATTTCGAGTAAGATGTGTTAACATCCAGCATGACAAAATTTGTACAAAGTTCACAATTTAAAAATGAAGTATCACTGCAACTCGTGATTCCACACATTTATAGCAAAATTAAAGTGTCAACAAACCCATGCCGTGTAGTACAAAAATAAATCAGACTTCAGTCCCACGGAGAGCACAATAAATATTTATACAAAATTCTGTCTTCATAAATGATTACTTAAATTAACTTAGAAATGAATATGAACAATAAGTTATAATAAATAACTCTGATGACTCACGAGAATTCCATATGAAAGTCAGCATTCTAACACGTGACACTGGTGATCCCTATAGAATAGTCACAGATAACTGGATTGGATATTAGGTACCAACGTTAGGTGAGCAGCAGATTTGTGCTTAAAACCCCTTTCCATTGTACATAGGGACCCAAGACCGAGACTAGCTATACTCTACGAAAGCATTACTATATTGGCAAGGAAGCTGGGGCGCTGCGGCCTCCGCGGGCGGGACGACAGCGGCGGACAGAGGAGGGGCCGCGGCCGCCGGCCGCCTCCGGCGCGCCTGGGAGTCCCGGGGCGGCCGCGAGGGTTTGTACAGTGCGCTAAAGTGCCGCCGGACGGACGTCTATTGTACATATGTATATACCGAGGTCGAGTATTGTATCAGAGTAGTTGCGGTGAGATCCCTGGAATCTCCCTCAGCGACATCAGCGGGTCGGCCCGGGGCCGCTCGCCTCCCAGGGTCCCGGCGAGCGGTCCCGGGATTGCACTCTCCGACGGAGCCACAGGACAGCGTAAGTGCAAATAGTCGGCTGGCACGTTGTGGGGACAATGACCCTGTAAGTCCTGTTCTGCTAAAAATATTTTTTTTAATTTTTACAAAACCCATCCTTTTTCATAACAAAATTTTAAAGTACGTCTGTACTTCCTGCATAACATCAAGACATGGCAGGGAGCGGCGCCGTCGCGTGCGGGGCGGCCCGGGGGGCACAGCGCGGTCCTTGGGGCGCACGTCCGGAGTCGCAGCCCGCCGGGGCTGGCCGAGTGTGGAGCAAAGAAAGTGCTGAAGTAGCTTTAGTTATTCTTAAAATCTGATTGCATTCGTTCTTAGATAGGTCAGGACAGACTGAACAAGGAGGCCGCGCGGGCGCTGTGGGGCCTGCGGAGCCGGGCGGAGCCCCCGGAGCTGCCTTCCGCCCGCTCCTCCGCGGACAGCCGTCGTGCCGCCATCAGGGGCCACTTGCCTTCATCCCCGGAGTAAAATCGTGACAACAACGACTATGCCAACAGTGATTTCTGAAGGTGGAAAGGGGAAATAAATACTCTTAAATTATCTTTGAGCTTAAATTAAAACACACAGACTCCGTTCCACGAGCCACACTGCCCGGACAGTTCGAGGACGCAGGGCTGGGGAGGCAGGAGAGGCTGCTCCAAAGTCCACTGAGCACGGAGGACGGGGGCTGCCTCCGCGGGCAAGTGTCCGCGGGTCCCAGAGCACGGAGGACGCGGGCCGCCTCTGCGGGCCTGTCTCTGCGGGTGCCAGAGCTGCGCCGCACTCAGGAGTTAGCTTAAAAGTGCTGTGTGAGCTGCTGAGAGTCTTCCGCCAAGTTCCCATGGCTTGATGTTGTCTTACAACAAATCACTTATCTCATTTCTTACAGTTAATCCATATGCCATTTCCTTGGAATGCAAAAACACTCATTTATTGCCCCCACCATCCACCATCCTCCTAAAACAAACAAACAAAAACAGCACATAATATTTCCAAGCATTGTTCAAAAATAAAGCATTTTTTGCAACCAATTCTCGCTATGAAACAATATGCACACAAACGCACCCCCGAGCCCCCTGCCGGGGCGCAGCAGCCGCGCCACGGCCATTCAAAGCTGTTGTGTTTTTTTGTCCATTTCAGTTCAAAATACTAAGACATGTAATCACTAAAGCATTTAAAAGGATGTACACTCTACGTGTTTTGACCAGCTGGCCTCCCCCGGAACACGGTCTCTACCCCAAGGCACGGCACCAGCAGCCAGAACTTCGCGGCGTCTGTGTCAGCTTATAGGAAACGTACAAAATGTGAGTGTGTCCAAACTACCCTGCAGGTATGCTATCTTTAAAGCAAGACACGAATCATTGTGAAGTCTTGGGAGCATAACACTGTTTCAAACAGAAATAAATATATAACACTCTGTAAGTGGCAGCAGCAGGGGACAAGAGGCGTCCTTGTTAAGCAAGATCCAGCACTAGCAGCTGTTCAGACCTGAATTCCTCTCACAGCCTGCTTTATATTTTCCAGTAGAGCTTTATTTTCTGGGCTCTGATAACGATCTTGATTTGTATACATGTCCGTCAAAGTAGTCACGTATGCATCAAAATTTTGTTCATTGATTGGATCCTACGAGATATTAAATAGTAGTTCATACACAACTTTAATTTTCTTAATAGGATATTCACATCAGCATAAAACAGCAGCAGCGCGCAGAGCCCCATCTGGGGCCGTCACTCCATGCAGAGCGGACGCGACCTTGGGCCCGCGCAGCGGCCCCATGGGGTTCGGGTTATGCTATGGTTCGGGGCAGTAACCGCCAACGTCCAAATGCTGGACGCCAGGCCAGGGTCGCGGACAGAGCCGGGCCGCCCGGGGCCGAGGCGCCACTCTCCTGCCCTCGCCACTTACCATGTGTGGGAGCTGGATGCTGGCGAGGCTGCGGGTCAGGGACTGGCTCAGGCTGGCTCAGCCACTTACCATGTGCGGGAGCTGGATGTTGGCGAGGCTGTGGATGAGGGACTGGCTCAGGCTGGCCAGCTCGTGCAGGAGAGACTCATTCTGCTGCTCGATGACCTTGTTCTCCTCTTCTATCGTCTTCAGGTTGCTCTCCATCGTGGTGATCTGGAACACATGGGCCAGTGCGGCAGGTGACGCGGGCGTCCTGGGAGCTGGGCCCTGGGGAGCATCCTTGGAGCCCGGGACCTCGGAGGGGGGGACTTTTCATGCAAACAAGGAACATGTTTGCCTAAACAAAAAGGCTTCAAAGTTAAGAATCTGTCATTTTCAGATGATAGGAAAAGAGATGTGGTCTAAATGCCCAATGAACGTGACTTGCTACGGAAAATGGCGAGCCCTGCCATTCCCGACGCCGACCGGCCCAGGGTGCAGGGCGTGCAGTGAGGGGAGTCGGCGGCCGGGACGCGGCGAGTTCACCCACAGGCGGACGCAGAGAAAGGAAACAGGGAGGACAGAGCTGACCTGAGCGAACCCTAGCAAGCTGACTGCAAGGAGGCTCCTGGAGGGGTGAGGCGTGGGCGGAGGGGACCATGGGGCGGCCATGGGCGGTGTGGGGAGGGCCGTGGGTGGGAGGCGGCAGGACAGGTGGTGACCCTGAGGAGCAGCGACCCTGTGTCTTGAATCACACAGGGTGCGAACCATTTTGCCTCAATAAACAGCACAAGAAAAACAGAAACAAGAAAAAACTGTCATTTTGAGGATTGGTTTTCCTGTCCTGCCCCTGCACTTGGCACATTGCTGCTGGGCGACCAAGCTTGTCCTCCTGAGGGGGAGGCGCCGGAGGTGGGTCCGGCTTCTATGCTCTGTTGAGGTCTCTGGGGGCCACCAACCTGGGGAGGGATGCCCCGGAGACGGGCTCGCGGGCGACCTGGTGCCAGCCGACACCGCGGCTCTCACTGGGCACAGCGCTCTGCCCACTGGCTGCTGAGAGGGACATGCGCTGCATTCCCATGGGCTCTGCGGGGAGCGGCCTCCAGCCCTGCTCTCCTCATCTCAGGGCGCAGAGGAAAGAGGCTGAGCCTGTGGTTCCATTGTGGCCCCACATCTGGGCCCAGGCCTTAGCCCCAACACCCCACTCACCAGATGGTCCAGCGTGGCCTCAGCCGGCCAGTGGACGCAGTGCTGACACCAGTCAGGGGCCTCAAGGACACCCAGCCCTGGCAGCTTGCACCAGACCTGGGCGGTCATCCCGGCCAGCCTGGGCAGGGTCTCTGGCTCCGCCGCCAGAGCGAGAAGCTGGCCTGGACTCCGCTCAGCGCTCCCTGTGAGTCGGGGAGCTCGGGGTCCCTGGGTTACAGAAACTGTGTGCCCTGCCTGTGGAGACCCCCAGCTCACAGTGGGGCTGCCGCTGAGTTTCTGGGGCTTCTGACCCAATGGCCCCAGGCAAAGGGGGCGCGGCGGTGGCAGGAGGCAGTGGGGGAGCACTGGGTGCCCTCCCGGCACCCCAGTGGCGCATCAGGTGATTTCAGCCTCATTCCTGAGGCTGCCCCGCCCGTCAAACTGCCAGAGACCCCGAGACCCCTGCTCTGCGTTCCCGGTCAGGGCAGGGCCCGCCTGCACACAGCCACCGCGGCCGCGGCTGAGGACCTGCTTCCAGGACAGCCGGGCCTTCACAGAGGTGGTGGGGTGGTGGGGCTCCCCCACCTGCGGGCAGTCGCGAGGCTGCGTGGTGGCTTGTCAGAGGCCGGACCCCCGTGCTCAGAACGTGGCGGCTGCCGGGCGCTGACTCCGGCCCAGGGGCCCGCAGCCTCCGTGCCAGGTGAGCGCGTCCCCTCCCCATCAGACCTAGCCGGAAGCGCGTCCCCTCCCCATCAGACCAGGGCGCCCCAAGACAGCACTTGGCTCACCTGGGACCCTTCCCCCACCGCCCGCCCCTCCCGGCCCGACCTGGGAAGCTTCTCCTCGGACCATCCTCCACCCACCAGGCCCTGGGCCCCTCTCGGACCTCAGGCAGCCGAGCCTTGTCACTGCCACACCCCTGCCTGGCTCTGTTTTGGAGTGCTCTTTCTGGACTCTGATGCCAAGTGCCCCTCTGGGTGATGCCCTTCTTAGGGCGAGGTCCTGAGCCGTCTGTTGTGTGAACTGTGTCCAGGGGGCGAGAGCCCTCCTCTCTGGTCAGCGTCTGGGGGTGGGACTGTCTGGGCACCTCCGGCAGGACAGTGTGAGCTGGTCAGTCCAGCGGGTTGGGGATGGCAGGGACTGGCCTTGGGGGCAGGGCCCAGGCAGCCGGGCTCCCTGCCAGCAGGCTCTTCTGCTGCGCTCTCCTGAGCTGGGGAACTGTCCAAACGCCCCCACTGGGGGACCTGCCCCAGGCTCAAAGCCCAGTCCTGGATCTGAAGGTCAATGGGGGGTGAAGAGGGGGAACCAGGCTTTCCAGTCAGACCCCTGGGAGGAGGAGGGGCGTCTCCCTACATTTATCTCCCCACCCCATGCTCCACCTACCCAGAACTGCCCTGCAGCTGGTTTAAGGTGTGGGGCTCACAGAATCTGGGGGGAGGGGGACTCTCAGGTAAAAACAAGATTCCTCAGAGAAGTAGCTGTAGCTCAGAAACACCGACTGGTGACATTAAGAATCTGTGTCACTCTTCACCATCCGACCATTTCAGGGGAGACCACTGGCCTCTGTTCTCGGGTTTCCAGGCTCTGCATCTGGCACAGGGAGTCCCCACCTGCCTCAGTTTCCCCAGTTGTGGAACAAGAGGTCTGGGCTGGGCTGGTCCTTCACAGCGTCGACGAAGCAGCAGACTCCACTTGGACATTGGAGGCGCAGTGGGCCGGACGCCAGCAGATAGGGCAAAACCAGGGCACTGAGCCCTGGGATTCTGCTGGGCCCGGTCACCCCAAGAACAACATTAGGCAAGTGGACGTTTGCCCTTTTGTGGCTGCTGTGGACAAGCCTCCATCCCGTTGCCTCCCCAAGAGATGAGATAGGGTGGGTGCCATGCGGGCCCTCCCCAAGATGGCCCCTCCCCGCGGCATCCTGCCTGCCTGCCTGCCTCCAGAGCAAAGGCATGTGCCCTGAGGCAGTGGCACCCTTGGGGCTGGGGCAGGCTCACTGGAGGGGCTGGGCTGCACAGGTGGGAGGAAGGAGGCTTTCCCAAGGCGTCCACCCAGCTGATGCGCCTCCCAGGCCTGGCGCCCAGGGCCGGTGCCCCAGAGCGGATGCGCAGAGCCTGGGCCTGGCTCCAGCTCAGCTGGAGTCTTTCCTGACCTGTTGGGTGGAAGGTGGCCTAGTCTGTAGAAATACCCCGAACCCCTAAAGTGACTATGCCGACGTCCTGGTAAACTGCTGCACGAGAGGGAATACTGACCCCTGGTGACCAAGCACTGGACCCACACAGGAGGACGGGAGAGGGGTGGGGCGGCTGGCAGCTCTGGCCCAGAGGTGGGCTGAGGGGCCAGAGCTCTGGGTGTCCTGCGGGTGGCTCCCACGGCGGGAGCCGGCCGTGCCTGCCTGACAGGTGAGGAGTCTCGTGTCCCCGGGCGTCTGGGACTGGCCAGGGCAGCAGGATGGTCCCAACCCTGAGGTCTCCCCCTCCCAAGCACTCACGTGGGGGGCAGGCAAGCCTGTCGGCCAGTCAAAGGGATTTGGGGATTTGCGGGCCGTTTCTCCCAGAACAGAACTGGGGTCTGGGTGTGGCGGGTGCTGCGGAGTCCTTGGGCCAAGACCCCAGCGGCCCATGGCCAGAGGAGCACAGGCTTGGGCGAGTGTGGGGACAGTCCTGCCCTTGCCAGAGGCCCGGGAAGAGGGTGCAGCACTTGGGTCAGCCTGGGCGCCCCACGCAGGGTGCCAGGGGCAGCGGCCTGTGGAGGTGGACATGAGGCTTCGCCCGCTCCATTACCCCTGCAGGGCCACAGCCCTGGGGCTCCCTGGAGGAGGAGCCGACCAGGAGGGTGGGGCAGGGCTGTGTCCACCGCACACCTCGCAGCCGGAGTGTCCAGTGGGGGGCGGCCAGCAGGTGCTCGGCGCCCCCTCTGGAACCTACAGGGGCCACCAGGCTCCCCCGGGGCCTGGCCCAGCCCCGTGTGTGTCCGTGGACCGGCCCGGCCTGCGTCTGGGGGGCTGAGCGGGAGGCGCCGGGTGCTGCCCCAGCGTCCCCGACAGGAGGGCAGAGGCGGGGCGGGGAGACCCGAACTCCGGAGAAGGGGCCAGCGGGGCGGGAGTGCGGCACCAGGAGGTCGGGGCGTGGGGGGGGGGGCGGGTCAGGGAGCTCCAGAGCCGGGTGCCTGGGACAGGAACCGGCCCCTGGGACCAGGCGCGGGGCGTGGGTGGGGGGGATGGGGGGTTGGCCGCGGCGGGGGGCCGTGGGAGGGGCGCGGCCCGTTACCTGGGTGCGCAGCTTGATCATGTCGGCCTCCATCTGCGAGTTGGACTCGTTCAGCTCCTTGATCTCCTCGTCCAGCTGCTTGATCTCCTCGTCATTCTCGATGCCTGCGGACAGAAGCCGGTGGGCGCGGGGCTCCCCCTGCCGCGTCGGTGTTTGCCTCGGGCCTGGGGCGCTGCCCCCCAGTTTGAGTCCACTTCCCGCTCCCGGGGCTCCCCGCGGGAGGCCGGGCCACGGTGGTCAGCCCTGGCTGGGGCCTGGAGAGGGCAGCTTCCACGTGGACCCTGGGGCCCGTGGTCACCGCCAGCCCCCTCTGCCCCGGATGCTCCTGTCCTCCCACTTGGGGGAACAGCCAGGCTCCGGGCAGCCTCTAGGGCCCCCTCCCCTCGGAAGCCTAGATTTTGGGAGGAAACCACAGCTCCCGACAGCCCCCACGCGGTGACCCTGAGGGCCGTCCACCTAGTGACAGGAGGAGGACAGGTGTGACCCCCCTTGGGCAGTGGCTGAGAGCTTTCTGGACACACACAGACCAGCAAAAGCACCCCCTCATTTTGAATGAGGGAAAGTGAGCTGGCACCAGATTTCCCAGTTGTCCTGCATGGCAGGAGTGGGTACCCAGCCTGCCCCCCAGCCAGCCCCGCCTGTCCCCCTCAACCAACCCCCTCCATCCTCTGCCCCCCCAGCCCGGCAGTCTCCCCACCAGCCCCCGCCTCCCCCAAGCAAGCCCCCGTCAGCCCCTGCCTGCTCCCACCTGAGCATGAGTCCCTCTCAGGCACAGAAACCTCTGGTATGAGCTTCTGCCTCACCCTGCCCCCCACAACACACCCCGTGTGGGCGCCCACACGCCAGGTGACGACCAGGAGCCAGAGGATGGCAGTATGACCTGGCCAGTCAGCCAACCTCCAGGATGCTGCTCCCGAATCTCCCTTTTTATCAGCTGCACCCCAAAGGTAAGTCAAAGAGGATAAAAGGATGGCCAAGAACAGTCTCAGGATGGGCCCTCATCCATCCCCTTTCCCCATGACCTGGCACTCAAGGTGAGCGTTTGCACTTGGGGGTCACACTCAGTGCACGGGCCCTCGACCGGGGCGATGCCAGGACTTCCCTGCGCGAGCCCCACCAGCCCCCAGAGGAGAAGGTCCAGTACAGAGCATCCGGCTTGTCCAGCGTCTGCCCGAGTCCCTAGGCCAGTCGGCAGGGGCTCGCACGCGCCCGGGGCCGGGCTGCTGGGGCCTGACAGAGAAGGTCTGTGGAGATTTCCCAGCAAGTCCATCCCGTGCAGCTCATTTCCGTTTGGACCCGCTTAAGGCTTCTTTCCCAGGGCTTCGTGCTGAGTCACTCCTCTGGCCCCACGGCCTAAGGTCTGGCTGCCTCTGAGGGCTTTTCCATCTGTGTCCAGATTTAGCCTCCTGTCGAAGTTGCTGTGCTCCCCCTAACATGACTGGGGTTCCCCAGAGGTCGTACCCGAGGCCGCTCAGGCCACCTGGGAGTGGGGGTCCCGTGTGCCTGCCTGCTCTCAGCCACGGGCCCACAGCGTGTGGGGTGGGGGGGGGCGGAGACAGGACCCTGGGGGCAGAGAAGAGGATGGCGGCTTTTGCTAGCCAGAGCCCTGGAGCCCCCAGATGGTCTGGAGGCCCTGGAGCCTCTGCCAGATTCTGTAGCCGAGCTTGATGGGACGGCAAGGAGGTTCCCAGAGGAGCGTGGGGAGGTCTTGGCAGCTACTTCTCGGGCTCATGTGTTTTGGAGTGTGTCCCACGGTCTCTGTTCCCATCAGGGGTCGTGGAGAGGCCTGACCCAGCAGGGCAGGCCCTGCAGCCGCCCGCCAGTCCACTCGGCACTGACGCCCCCAGGCCCCAGGTCTGGGTGCGGGACCTGGTTGCGAGACAGGAAACCGCCTCCTGCTGTCTTGTGGGGGGGGGGGGATGGTTTGGGGTGGGGTGTGGGGGAGCCCTCTTCTTAATCCTGGCAACACTGGTCCCTCAGGGCAAAAGGCCTCCCTGAGGGGCTCGTGGCAGCCCCCATCCAGGGCTGAGGGCAAAGGTCACGTGGCTCCAGGGAGCCTCGGCTCATCTCAATTCTGCTGACCAGACTGGGCTGGGCCCACGGAGCCCCAGGCAGCCAGAGCACTCTTGGGGTGTTGGGCTCCCGCAGGAACCTCAGCATTTGCCACAGAAAAGTACAGTGAGTCTGAATAGTCGCTGAGTGTATATGTGTGTGCGCCTGTGGAAAGTTGTGCGTTGTAGAACGACTTAACCATACTTCCACCAAAACCCTGGATCGTGACACCGGTTTATGAAACGCAGGAGAGATGTCCGTTATATAAATGAGCTGGGAAACCCCCTCACCACCAAAGCGAGCGCCCCAATCCACCTCTGACTCAAGTCAGTGTCATTTTAAACCCAATAAAAACACGAGCCTGTGCCCCAAGGCGGCCTCGCAGCTCCAAGATTTGCCTCAGCAGGAGGAGGGCAGGAGACTCAGGGTTAGTCTGCAGGAGCCAGGTGCCACACCTGTGCTGTCCGGCCCCGGCCCTGGCCCTCCTGGCCCGGTCCACCCTCTGCAGCCACCAGGTGTGGGCCCTATCCCTGCACCCCTGTCTCCTGCAAGTCCGGGGCGGGGGACTCCGAAGCTGGGGCAATAGAGGCTGAAATGCGGGCAGGGGAAGAGCTGGCAGGGGACAGAGGGAGTTGAGGCTGGGATTGGACAGTCCTGGGAACCCTCTAATCCCCGCAGGGAGGGGCTGGAGATGAACTTCCTTGAGGCCAGAGCTGTCCCCAGGGAGAACCCGCCTTCAGAGAGGGGCGCTCCAGGTCAGCAGCGCCCGCTGCCAGAGTGAGCGGGACTTGGGAACCGGCCCACAGAGGGGCCTGCAGGGAAGACGCCTGACCCCAAGGTCCCCCACCCCGGCACAGCCTCGGAGGCTGAGAGACTGCTCCTCCGGCCAGGCCAGCCATGTGGCTTCCTGCTCGCGCCTCTGCGCTGGGACCGCCTCGGCCCCCCAAGCATCTGGCCTGGCCCACTGTCCCCTCTCTGAGTTGGCCTTTCCTTCTGGGTGAGGGGACACGGCAGCGCCCACTCCTCGGGCAGCTGGGACAGCAAAGGGGTGGGGCTTCCCGCAGGCGCCCAGACCCCTGTTCCATCCCAGCAGAGAGGACCAGATGGGCATTTCCTTCTCTCCGGAGGCTGGTCAGGCCTCAGGCACGGGCTAGGGGGCCAGCGGGTGGCGCCGCAGAGAAGGTGCTCTGGGAAGGGGGGAGGCCAGGTGGGCAGAGGACGTGCAGGGAGCCTGGAGCTTGGGGAGAGCCGGCAGCTTCCTCTGCATTGAGCAAAACACATGAGCCCGAGAAGTAGCCACCAAGACCTCCCCACGCTCCTCTGGGAACCTCCTTGCCGTCCCATCAAGCTCGGCTACAGGAGAGGGGAGGGGAGAGATAGAGAGAGGAGGGGAGAGGAGGCCCCCCACAAGTGCCCCACTGGCGTGAGCGGGGCAGCCCAGGCACACGGTCCTAGCCCAGGACATGGGTGTGGCCCGACTGTTCCCAGAAACCAGTGGGCCACGCGGTAGGGAGGCACAAGTGTTGGGGCAAGCGTCACGTGACCCACCGCGGCCCTGATGGGAAGCTGCCCCGCGCCCCAAGGGCAGGGGCAGGACCCCCTCCAGGTCTGGGCTAGGCAGTGCCAGCAGGAGGACTCCGCTCTGCGATGCTGGGTGTTGGTTCCCTCGAGAGACGCGGATGGGGGCTCCCCAAAGCCTCAGCTCCACTGTTCTGGGGGTTCACAGCCCCCCTCCCGCCCCTGAGATGGGAGGCGGGACCCCAGCGTGGAAGCTAGACCCGTGCGCCGAGTTGCGCAAAGCACTCGGCTGCTAGTTTTGGGGTGTTATTGTGGTGCCTTGGCCAACGCTGACTCCGCGGCCAAACCCTCCCTAGGGGGATCGAGGACTGCCGGGCCCCGGCCCCCGCCCGCCTGAGGTGTGCGGTGCTGAGACTCCCACGTCACGCGTCTGCTCACTGCCGGCACCGAGTCCCACCTGAGTCCCACCTGGGGCCGCGGCAGGGCCTCTCCCAGCCTCCGACCACCAGCCCCAGCCCTGCCCAGGCCGCCCCGGCCCGGCTGACAGCCCCAGCCCAGCGCCGGGCAGCCAAGAGGAAGGGCCGTGCGCCCCGGGGACAGCGGTGGGCGGACAGCAGGGCCCTGGCGGCTGAGGGGCGTTGCTGGGCGCGGCTTCTGGGGACCTCCTGCGCCCCGGCCCAGGGCGGTGCACGTGGGGAGGGCGGTGAGAACACTGCCCGAGAGCTGCGGGGCGCCGGGGCAGGGCTCTGCCGCTGTGCAAGGAGGGGCCTAGGCCCAGGTGGGCCTTCCGGGCTGGGGGTCGGCAGGTGGACCGGGCCATGGGGGGCCGCACCTGCCCGTCAGGGCGGGGCCTAGGGATGGGGCGTGGCCTGAGGAAGGGGTGGGGCCTGGGGACGGGGCAGGGACTAGGGATGGGGTGGAGCCTAGGGATGGGGCAGGGCCGGGGATGGGGCGGGGCCTAGGGGCTGGGTGGGGCCTGGAGATGGGGTGGGGCCTGGGGACGGGGCAGGGAATGGGGATGGGGCGGGGCCTGGGGACGGGGCAGGGCCTAGGGGCTGGGTGGGGCCTGGGGCTGGGCGGGGCCTGGGGATGGGGTGGAGCCTAGGGATGGGGCGGGGCCTGGGATGGGGCGGGGGCCTGGGGACGGGGCAGGGCCTGGGGTGGGGCGGGGCAGGAATGCGGATGGGGCGGGGCAGGGCCTAGGGATGGGGTGGAGCCTAGGGATGGGCGGGGCCTGGGGATGGGGCAGGGCCTAGGAATGGGGTGGAGCCTAGGGATGGGCGGGGCCTGGGGATGGGGCAGGGCCTAGGGATGGGGTGGAGCCTAGGGATGGGCGGGGCCTGGGGCGGGGCGGGGCCGGTGGGCCTTACCATCGCTGGCCCGCTGCCTGATGGTCAGCATCTGCTCTCCTGACAGCTTCGCCTTCTTCATGGCGGACGTGGCTCGCGGGCATCCTGACAAGCTGCGGGCGAGAGTCGGAACAGGGGTTTAGCAGGGGAGGGAGCCCAGGGCGCGCGCAGCTGGCCCTACGGCGGCCGGCGAGGGCCCCTGCGCCCAGGTGGGCCAGCGCCTGGGGTTCTGGGGCCGCCGCCGCGGGGGTCTGTGGAGACAGCTGGGCTGCCGGGGTTCAAGGCAGAAACTCGCTATTTGTGTCATCATGTTATGGAGAGCGAGGGGTGTACAAGGGGTGGAAGTGGACACTGCTTTGGACACACGGGCGTAAAGAGCAAGGAGTGGGCTCCCGGCCCCGCCTTCCTGGCAGGCAGCCAAGTCCAGGCTGCCCTGACCAGCCGGGAGCTCGCCAGGGGTGGCTTCATGCTGTCCGAGTGACCCAGCTCTCTGGGCTGCTGTGCCCTTTGGGCTGACGGCCAGCCTGGTACCCGTCCTGTCACCCTCTTCCTGCCCCCTGAAACCTCACTCTGTCCATTAATGTCCCCATGCGATGCTGTGTTGTCCTACTGTCCCCATGTTAGTGTCCACTTGTCCTGCCCTCCTGCCATGCTGCCCCGACAGGCCTCCTCCTCTGCCCGTGGCTGAACGGTGTCCCCTGCCCAGGGCCCTGAGGTGGCCTCTGGGCCTTTCTGGCTGCTGTAGATGAGGCTGCATCATCTGAAGGTGTCAGTAAGTGTGTTCTAGTTCCTCAAGGGTGGGGTTGGGGGCCGAGCGACTGCAGCCTTCACAGGGTGCTCCCTATCATCTGGGCGTGCGACCTCAGGTCTCCCCTGTGAGCCTCAGGAGGAAGTGAGTGGCACTTACAGAATACAGGTGACCTAGATTTTTAGGGTCATTTTCAGAAATCCCCCGTTGGGGCAAACCACCAGAGGTTGGGCCATGCCACAGACGTCACCTCCTCTCTTCACTGCCCAGGCCCCCAGCACAGGAGGGGAGAGACCCCGGCTCACCTGTCTCTACGTTAGCACTTACAGCCATGTAGATTCTCCACACTTGTTACTCAATTTGGCCCTGCTCACCTTTTTGCTGTTAAAGGCTGTTCCTCCAGTCTTGAACCCAGAGGGGTGGGGGAATGTTACCCTGTGCCTAGACACTGTGTCTTTAACTGACCTGGATGATGGGAATGTTGCATAGGTGAGCTAGCACAGGTGTTACACAGGTGAGCTTGCCCAGGTGACTGCACAGGTGTTACTCAGGTGAGCTTGCACAGAAAAACTTACACAGATAAGCTTACAAAGCTATCTGTTGCACAGATGAGCTTGTACAGGTAAACTTGCACTGGTAAGTGTTGCATAGGTGAGCTTGCACAGGTGGATTTGCACAGGTAAACACTGCACAGGTACACTTATACAGGTGAGCATGCACATGTAAACTTGCACAGGTGTGCTTGCACAGGTGAGTGTTGCACAGGTGAGCTTGCACAGGGAAGCAGATCTTCATGGACCTGGCAAGCCCCTCTCCTGCATCAACATCCGGAGGGCTGTCCTATCTGCCAGAGCAGCCACTGTTGGCTTTGCTTCCTGGGACTTAGGATTTAGGACAGGGCCCCCAGGGGTGTGCACGGGGAACACAAGGGTGTCCCTGAACCCGACCTGCTCCCATCTCCGTAACAGGGTGTTGTGTCCCTTCTCAGTTCAAGACCGCAAACATTCTGCAGTCCCCAAATGTTCTGTGTCAAAGAGCGTGTCCTGGGCCACAGAGAGCAGGTGTCTCTGAGCGGGGCTCCTGGGTCTCCACAAGGTAGCACCCTGAGGGCGGGAAGGCAGGGGGGTTCCCCATTAGTTGTGAGCTGGGGCTGAGCAGGGAGCAGCAGGCTTGGCAATTGCAGCCATCCTCTTGCTTGTACCCCTCGATCCATCAGCCTGGTGACCGGCTGCCCCTAACCCATCCCCCATGCCCTCCTGGGTGTCGGGTGGTCACAGGCACAGACAGGTGTGGGTTTGCACATGTAGGTGCTACACAGGTGAGCTCACACAGGGACAGAGTCGGGAAGCTCCGGGTCACGGTGGGCACTGGCTGTGGCTGCCCAAGCGAGGGCTCCTATGCACATCCTGCCCAGGTGGACCCTGCTGGGGGCGCGGCGGGGTGGCCGCGCTGCTCCTGCCCAGGCAGCCCAGGGGCCTCACTGCAGCCCCCGCCGCTTCCACGGCTCCTTCTGTTTCCTTCCTCAAAAGCCTCGCCACTGGCTTCTCCGTCTTCTAAATGCTGTCATTTTCTCTTCTCATGTCTTTATGATTTCAAGGTGAACCCCTTGTCTTCCCAGTCTTAGCTCCTAACTGAACTTTCCATTTTACTGACCGATTTGAAGTCATCTTGTTTCTTGTTTTCTGCACATTTCTAGCCCATGAACATGAGGAGTCACAACTCTTTCTATTTCTGCTGATGACACCTTCGTGTTTTAAAAAATGTGCTTCTTCTTCCAGACTGTGTCTCCCAAACCCTGTCCTCTGCTGGCTCTCTGTGTCGGGGTGCCGTGGACGCTGCGCCGAGCCAGCCCTCCAGTGCCAGGTGTCAGGGCCGGATCCCCGGGGCTGGGCTGCGTGGAGGGCTCTAGAGGTGCCCCTTCATCTGCAGCTCTGGCCCCGGGGGCGGTGCCCTCCTGTGTCGGCTGCCAGCCCGGCCCCTGGGTGGCTCCTCCCCGGGGGTGCGTGGGGCACCTGGGAGCTGAGCCGCTGATGAAGCCCCTCACGCAGCCTGTCCCCCCTTGGGGGCACCCCAGGGGCATATGGAGGCTCTCCCCCTCCCTCCTCCACCTGCGCCCTGCTCCCCAAGAGGGTCCTTTCAGCAGCTGTTTGGAGGTGCATGTGGTTTCTGTCTGGTGTTCCTATGAGGCCCCGTGGCTGGGGACATGTTTCTCTCCTCTGCTGCGGGGCCTGGCACAGCTTCAGCAGCCGAGAGCCTGCTCCTCCGGCCAGGCCTCCTGCTCGGCTCCTGGGCCTCCCGCAGTCTCCGCCTCTGCACTGGGACCACCTCAGCCCCACAGTCTCCAGCCTGGCCCACTGTCCCCTCTCTGAGTTGACCTTTCCTTCCGGGCGAAGGAACATGGCGGTGCCCACTCCTCAGGCAGCTGGGACAGCAAAGGCGTCCCGTGGGGCTTCCTGCAGGTGCCCCAACCCCTGCTCCATCTGGTAGAGAGGACCAGAAGGACCATGGACCCCACCCCCTTTTCAGGGCAGGATGAGCCCCAGCAGAAGGCCCACTTCTGAGTGTCTAATCAGGCTTGTAGGTGGGGTCCCTGAGAGAGGATGTAAGGCAGGGCAGGCGCCAGCCTGAGGCATTCTGCTCCCCAGCCGTGGGACGTCACAGACCCCTGCAGACCCCAGGCCTCTGTAGACTCTGTAGACCACACAGCCTGTCTGCAGAGACCTGGTCCCAGGCCCGGCCCTGGCCCAGCCTCTGACATCACAGCCACAAGCGCTGTAGGCCTTGGCCTGGTGCCTCAAAGAGCTGCTGTGCCATTGGTTCACACCAACAGCTCACAAAGAACTGATGCCCTAGTGTATAACATGGCCTCCTAGTGATGGGTGGTAACAGGCACTGCTCACCAGTGCTGACCACCACTGCAGGTGGATAGCAGTGCTGAGAGCTGTCTACTGCTTCTGGTCATCTAGCATGCCCTCCTGTGCTGTTGCCTCCGGTGCTGTCCCGGCCTACACACTTGCTGTGGCCTATTGTGATGTCACCTGTGAGTGCCTCCAGTTGTCACTGAGGGGCTCTGCTGACCTGTGTGCTACCAGCACCAGGCCCTTGTTGCAGGACAGCGCCACCTTGTAAGACAGCCTTTGGGGCTCTGATCCCTCTGTGCTGTCTGGGTGAGCTGTGGCCACTGGGGCCTTAGAAACTCTTCCTTTTACCCCAGCCTCCTCTTCATTGACACCCCTGCTGCTGCCCCCAGCCTGAATGGTCTCAAGTTGTTCATGTGGGTGACAGCCCCGACAGTGCCTGTCCCCGACACTGTCCTTCAGTGCTGTGTTGTGCCCTGTTTTGTTTCTTCTTGTGTTGCTAGTGAATAAGGTGTTTTCACATGCTGGGGTGTGCAGAAGCCACCCTGGGCCTGGCCCTTCCAGGCCTCCCACTGCCACAGCAGCACTGGCAGGAGGGGTGGACTTAAGAGTAGGAGGGGCAGAGGTCTCCCTGGGAAGGGCACATGTCCAGGGCCAAGGGTCCAGGAGGAGCAATCCCGAGAGCTGTCTGCAGCCTGTGACGCTGCTGGGCCCTGACACTGGAATCTGGAGGACAGGACAACTTGACCCTTCTTCTGTGTCCTCTGTCCACATGGCCTCTGGTCAGAGTGGCCCAGTATTCACCTGAAAGGGAGGGGAAGGGCCCTGCTGCCATAGTGGGCATCTTCAGTGCGGGCCCTGGCAGGGATGTTCTGGCAGGAGGGCGGCTGGGTCGACCCCGTGTCCCCTCCCTTCTGCCTGTCACCTGAGCAGCAGCTGGACATCTGAGGGCACAGGACACTGAGCAGCTGGCAGAATGCCTCTGTCCAGCCTCCATCCAGCTCTGTCCAGCCTCCGTTCTGCTTAAGTCTGTTACCGGAACCCACCGCCTCAGTGGGGCCAGCGGCAGAAGCAGTGGTTCTTGTAACTCGCGGCTCCACCACAAGTCAGTGGTGGCAGTTGCGCCTCAGAGCCCTTTTAGGCAACTGTGGACTTCCTGGTTCATGGCGTGGACCAATCAGCTGTGAGCCATGAGCTGATTGGTGCTAAATGGCCCAATCAGACTTTTGTTACCAGGACCCGCCTCTCACAAGTCAGTGGTGGCAGTTGCGCCTCAGAGCCCTTTTATGTGAGGCGCACTTCCTGGATTGTGGAATGGACCAATCAGGAGCTATGGGCTGATGGGTAAACGGTCCAATCAGCCACAGGATTGAAAAGTGGTCCAATCGGACGTGTGGGCGGGCACCCTGAGGGAGGATATAAGCGGGGGTAGGCGGCCCTGAGGAGAGGCGATGCCAGCCCGCAAGGAAGAGACGCTGCGGCTCCGGAGCGAGGACGGAGAAGGGCGGGAAGACTCTGCTTCTGGCTCGAAGAGAGGAGCGCCGCGCCGGCAGCCGCCCCGGAGGAGGGGGGGGGGTGGCCAAGGACCCTGCGGGGCGGGGCCGCGTCCTCTCTGGCGTCGCCTGCTTGCCGGGAGCCCGAGGCCGGCCTGGCGCCCGGGAGCGGCCGGTGCGGCGTCGCGCGGCCTCCCCCGGCAGCCGTGACGCGGGCGTCCCCGACCCGCCTCGGGCCCGGCGGTGCCGTCAGCGACGCTCCCCGGAGGCGGCCCGGCGAGCCCCGCGAGCGCCGCCCCCGCCCGGGAGGGGGACCCGGCGGCCGCCCCCGGCGGGCCCTGCAGTCGGGGGGGCGGCGGGCGGGGCTGTCCCCGGCCGGGCCGCTGGCGCTGGCGCTGGCGCCGGCGCCCCCCGCGGGTGCTGTGCGGCGCGGCCCTCGGCGGGTGCTGGGCTTCCCGGGGGCCTCTGGCCGCGGCCCGGGGGGCGGGTCCCGGGAGGGGCCTGCAGGCCCAGAGGCCAGGGGATGCACGGGTCCTGGAGGAGCCAGGGGACCAGCCCTGGCGACGCGCAGCCCTTCCTTGCCGGCAGTGCCCCGAGTCGTGGCGCCGTCCTTGGGGCCGGTCTCCTCAGCGCCTGCGCGGCGCCTGCGCTCGGCTGACGTGCGCGCCCACAGCTGGGCCAGGGAGGCAGGCGCGGGTCTCGCCCTGCTCCGCTGTGCACGCCCAGCGCCTGGTGCTCCTGGCCCTGGCTGTCAGCGGCTCCTTTGTGGCGGAGCCCCTTCCCGGCCGGTCCAGCTGACCCCCGGGGCTGGCATGGCAGTGCCACAGGGCCGTCAGCCTGTCCTCCAGACGGGGGTGGGACGGCCTGTCCACTCTCCGAGGAGGCGCTGAGCAAGCCAGGCTCCCGGAAAGGGCTGCCGGGGAGCTGGGCTGCGCTGGGTGTGGGCGCGGCCACGGAGGCGCCTGTGAAGTTGGCCTTGGCCAAGCTCTCTGAGGGCGGTGGGCTCACTGAGCCATGCTCTGCTTGCCCGAGCGGGGGTAGAATCCGTGAACCTCAGCTTTGGGGGTGCTTCCGTCTCCCTTGGGGTGAGTAGGGTGCAGGCGGCAGCAGGGTTGTGGGTGGCAATTCTGTCTCCTGCCCTGCCCCGGGGGTGGGGGGGGTGGGCGGTGGATTTGCTTCCACTTCTCCTGCCCACCCCAGCTCCCAAGAGGCCTGGGGACCTCACGCCTGCCCCTTCCCACCTGGGACGTGTCAGCCTCTCGTGAGGTCGCAGGTCCTGTGCTGTGCCAGGGGCACTCGACCCTCCCCACCTAATGGGCCTGGAGCCCCTCTGGAGCAAGAGTGGGGTGCCCGGGCACGGAAGGCCCGGGGCTGCCCTGCCAGCTCAGGAGGTAAATGCGTGGGGACTCAGGGCAGCACAGCGGGCAGCACGGAGCCAGCCGGTGCTCAGTGCCAGGGTCAGTAAGGTTCAGGACATGCCTGGGCGTGTGGCCCCGTCTGTGGCCCAGATGCCTGAAGCCTGGGCAGGCGGGACGAGCTCGTGCTTTCCAGACTGACGCGGGTCATGGCCGGAGCATGGCCCCTGTGTCGCTTCTCGACCCACAGGAGGGACCTGAGCTGCCAGACGGGCTGGCAGGGCCCCGCCGGCATCCGCAGCCACTCACCTGCGGTGTGTGAGGAAGCTGCCGCTGACGTGGCCCGAGCCGTCGCAGCCCGGCGTGGGGCAGGACATGCCCTCCGTCTTGACCGACTTCCAGGAGAACTGCGATCCGTTGAGGTAGCCGTCCTTTTGCCTCTTGGCGGCCAGTGGGCACCCTGACGCGCTGCGGTGCGACGCGTACTTGCCCGTGATGTGGCCCTGGCCGTCGCAGCCGGGGACCGGGCACCTGCGGGCAGAGGGGACTCGCTTTAGTGGGCAGCCGCCATGTCCCTGAGGCCACGAGGACGAGCCATGTTCACCCAACCGTGCGGAGGACCAGAGGCAAGGGCCACGCCGGGTGGGGCGGGGCGGGCGCCTGGTGTGCCCCTCGCTGGCTCCCCCAGGCCTGCAGCTCGGGCCGTTTCAAAGACCCCACTTCGGGCAGGGTCACAGCTCCGGCCACGTCGACGGGACGGGCAGGACTCGGGAAAACGCCTTCACGGGGTGCCGCGCTCCCCTCAGGAGGCCGACATGCCAGCTAAGCGGCACGGCCTGTGCGGCCCAGTGGGGCCCAGCGGGGCATGTCTGGCAGGGCCCTGGGGTGGCTGGGCGCGTGGCGGCTCGGCCCTGCTGTGTGCGCGGGCGGGGAGCAGTGGCCCAGGCACCCCCAGCCCAGGGCCACGCGGGCTGCGCACCCTCCGCCCCTGCCCCTGCCCGGACGCCCGGGTCTGGGCCGCCGCGTTCACGTTTATGTGCCGTGGACTCTGCGCTGCCTGTTTGTTCCGAGGCTGTTTCACGACGTAGTTTACATTGTACTGTCGTGAGTTTTTTTCTCCAAAGATATTGAGATGGGATTTCAGCCGCCGGCTTCTCTGGGCAGCAGAGGCTGAGGCCCGGCCCAGGGGGCCGGTGGGGGGAGGAGGCGGCCGGCGGGGGGAGGAGGCGCTCTCCAGCCTGGGCGCCGGGCAGCGCGGCTCAAGCTGAGGACGCGGGCAGCGAGACTTCCCTGTGCGGGGCCCTCCGGCACTGGAGTCGAGACCCCCGCTTGGGTGCCACTGGCCGTCCCTGCGTGGCCCAGGACCCGGCTCACATGCCCCCGCCCCCCACCGGCTCTGGCGGAAGCAAGAGCTGACGGCTGGACCAGACCACCAGGCTGCCGGAGCCCGCCCCGCTGCCCCGCAGGCCCGCACCTGATGGGCTCTTGGTCTTCTTTGTCCTCCTTGCTCTGGGCAACCCGGATACCGCTTTTCTTCGCCCTCGGGCAGCCTGAAAGGCTAAAGCAGAAACACACTTCAGAGACCCGGCCCCGTGCCGTCCTCAACTCCTTGCGGTGCAGCCACGAGGCTCCCAGAGCAGCCTGTGCTCGTGCCAGAAGCGGCTCCTCCCGAACGGGCCCTCGGTCCTCCCCCGAGCCTCTGGGCACACCGCAGCCTCCCCAGGGGGCAGGGCGCCCCCACTGAGAGCTGGCAGGTGTCAGGGGGCACAGAACCGGGGCTGCTGCCCAGAGCTTGCCGCACAGGGCCTGTGGGGGAGCACGTCCTCCTGCTCCTGTCTCCAGGCTCTGGGGGGCCAGGCTCTCCTTGCCTCCCATGGGGACATGCCAGCGGCCCCACCCTCAGGGTCCAGGCCCAGCCCTGCAGCACAGCCTCCTCCGGCTGGGAGCAAATGGGAGAACTGTGCCTGCCACCAGCTAAGCTGCAGGAATCATGGGGCCCCTGGACAGTGCGACGGCACCATCAGCACTTCACACCTCACTTCTGTGTGAAACAAAGGAACGACGCACACGGCGTGCTCCCCACCCCAGCACAGTGCATCCCTGCAGAGCCCCGGGCCAGGGAGCGACTGGCCGCCAGGTCAGGACACGTGGAGTGCAGGGAGGCAGCAGCTGAGTCGTATCAGCGGCTGTACCGTATCTGTTCTGTCTGCACCTGCCCTGCGCCTGCGCCTGTGTATGTCTCTTTCCCACTAGATGCTCTTTTCCTTCGAGGTCAGGAACCCTGGCTCGCACTGGCCCTTAGCTGCTGCACACGGGATGTGGTCACTAAGTGCTGAACTGAGCTCCCCAGCATTCCAGGCTGCGTCCCCGCGCTGTCCAGCGGTGGGCTGTGTCCCAGTCAGAAGCTGCGAGGTCGTGGCTGCCCTTGAGCGGGGCTCACTGTCCAGACGCACATTTCTTTGGCTTCTCAGATTGGAAACCAGCACTTTTAGAACTGACTTCTTTAGAGGGGCGGGGCTGGGGTGTCCAGTGGGCAGCTGGAGTGGATGGCACAGGAGGGAGGCGCTGGGCTCTCGGCTGCAGGGGTGGCGGGGCCAGAGGCAAGCTCTGCCATTGTGGCATGTCCGGGCGGAGACGCGTGGGGCTGACCTGTGGCTGTGCTGGGCAGTGTAGCCTGTGGGTCCTGCCTGTGATGTCCAGAGTATGTTGAAGCCAAGCAGATTTGGCTCCTGGACCTTCTGCGGCGGTTCTGGATACCAACACTGCCCGCTACACAGCAGAGCAAGCCCCCATAGAAGGGGCGCAGCAGGTGGGCTGTCCCAGGGCCTCAGGCAGGCAGGGTAGATGGCCTTGGGTGGGTCAGTGAGGTCACCCACGGTCAGTGCTCACGTGGTTCTGGGTCCAGGGCCAGTGCCTTGTGAGTTGCCTTTTGTCATTAGCATTCTGGAGCCTTGGGGTGCAGCTGCTCCTTGTGGGGATGGTGAGGGGCACAGCGCTCGGTGAGGGACTGGGCAGAACACCCCACAGCCATCAGGCCCTGAGGAGCCTTCAGGGACGCGTACGAAGCAGCATCCAGCCTCAAGTCACACAGGCCGGCTATGCCGACAGGGCGGGCACTCCCAGCCCAGCGGGACCCTCGGGGCCCCTTGTGTGGAGGTCGTGATGAGACGTGGTGAGGGGGCCCACTCAATGTGCCCGAGGTGACCAGGCTGGGGTCTGCTCCCGGCACGTCAAAGGTGCAGGCTGCTTTAAGGCGCGCGCAACGACGCCCTAGGAACTGGCTCTCCTCTGCCTTTTCCTGGCCGAGGAGGCAGCCCCAGCCCCTCTTCACACCCAGCAGGCTCGTGGGTGCAGGTTTACCAGCGGGTGTGAGCTCCCCGTGGAGAAACTCGCCTCCACCCTCAGAGTGGAGAATGACCCGCCGCCGCCCCCGGTGTCCGGCTCCCTGACGGGGGAACACCCTGGACGCCCTCAGCGGAGCACGGGCACCGCGCAGGCCTCTGTGCAGGCTGTGGGTGGTCACCCTTACCGCCCTCTGTCCTTTGTCATGTGTCCATCTGTCCAGCCTCAGAAGAAACCAGAAGGGTGGGGGGCATCCCTGCACCCTCGCGCGACAGAGTGGGCTGACATGGAGCTCCAGCTACCCTCTGAGCTGACCCAGCACTCAGATGAGGGGTGAGTGGCCAACGGCCAGGACCCAGGAGAGAGCCAGACGCGTCGGGAGTCATTGCCGGGGGTGGGGCACTCAAGGGGACAGGGTCCCTCGGCCACCACCGCTCTGCATGGTCCTCGTGCCCCACAAGGCTGCCTGGGGCTCTGGCACCCCTGAGGAGAGCCTGAAGAGCCACTGCCCTGTGGGGCTTGGGGTGTGGCCACATGGTGGCCCCCGCACCCGAGTGCCCGTGCACTGACTGACCCCAGAGCAATGGCCTGCTGAGGTCTGCTGAGCAGGTGGGCTCTGCTGGGCTGAGGACGGGGGACCCTGGCTGGGGAGACCCTGGTTGGGGGATCCCTGGCTGGGGGGGACCCTGGCGGGGGGTCTGCGGAGGGCAGGTCTTAATCTGCACCAGCTCTTACATCTGCCACCCAGAGCTGCCTCCGTCCACGTGCACGCCCCTGGGGCTGGCTCCAGGGCCCCTCGTGGCCGCTTCCACTCAAACCAACATTGCTCACAGCTTCCACTGCGCTGGGAGAAAAGTTCACTGAACAATGTTCAGACTAAATGACTCAATTTCCATGGTGCCAAATTCCACCCCCCAAAGGCCAGCAGAAAGACAGGCGCGGGCCCGGTGAGGGAGGGGCACGCAGCGCCCCTTCGGGCCAGGACTGAGCTGGGCGCAGCCACCGAGGCTGCTATTTCTCCTCCAGGACAGCATCGCCCGAGCCCGCTGCTCCTCATGTCTCACTGGGTGTTGGGCTTCCAGTTTTATTTATTGCACACTGCAAGCCCGGCCCTGGCAGGGCTCCAGGAGGCAGGGCTCCTGCACCTTCATACACGGGCTCTGAAGCCCGGAGGTCCAGCTCAGAGGCACAGAGTAGCCACCATGGTGGGGCCTCGGGGGCCACCCCTGCACCTGCCCCCTACCCGCCTGCCTGCCTAGTCAGTGCTTCTGTGGACAGTGGGACCCTGGGGCAGGGGGAGAAAGCGGAGCCCCACATACCTGCGGTGAGAAGCATAGTTGCCAGTGATGTGTCCAGAGCCGTCACAGCCGGGGGTGGGGCACCTGAAATTACAAATGCAAATCAGGCGATTTACTCGAAAGAAATAAGATCACGGAACAGCGAACTTTCTCGTTCACCCAAAAAGCGCTCTGTCCTTGCGGCCAACCCCTCAGGGAGAGGCGGAAGCCCTCACCCTTCACCACCACGCACGCCGGCCACCCGGGGCCTCTCTGGACAGTCTCACAGGCGTGACCACGTAGGACATGGGCTCCGGATGTCTTTGGGTGCCACCACTTCCTCCACGGCGTGCCCCAGCAGCCCCATGCCTTCCCTAACCGCAGGGTTGAGCACAGCCCAGATCCCTGGGCCTGCCCTGGACAATGTTTGACTGGGCTTGGGGAGAGACAGGCCCCAGGCCTGTGGCACTCGGACGGGGCAGCAGGGTCTTTGCAGCCCGGTGGGCCCTGCCCGTGGGAACGGAGCTTCCAGACCCCACCCCAGGTAGCTGTGCTTTGCCCTGAATCCTTGTCGCTCTGAAAGGACTCCAAAGACACGAGGGTGGCCCAACCACGCCCAGGCCCAGGCCTTGTCCTGGTCCCTGCCTGTGAGGTGTCCTGCTGTTCAGGGGGTGCTGTCGCTTCAAATGCCCGCTGCATTCACACCCACCGGCAACGAAAAATTATGGACAAAAATAATTCTTTCTTTCCTTCAGCCTTGTAATGCCGTGGCCCGGTCAGCACCACTCCCTTGCCAGCCGCCGCCCACCTCCCCCACCCCCCAGCACCCAGCATACGTGTAAGTCCAGGTGTAACACCGAGGGACAGGCCTCTGAGCTCCTCCCTCAGGGTGCCCCGGCCTGCAATGGCCAGCAATGGACTTGGCAGACTCGCGGCCCCTCCGTGCCTGCCAGGGAGCGCGGCACCCCTGGCCAAGCTGGCCTATCTTGCAGAGCTGATGCCACTCCTAAGTGGCCTGTCCAGGCCCCACCCAGCCCACACCTCAAGGGCTGGCCTCCGCGCAGACCTCCGCTTTGAGATGTTCAGGAGTCAGTGATCAGACTCAGCCTTGCTTCCTGTTCACAAAACCCCTAAATCTGGGCCTCCCTGGGGGCTCAGGGATCTCAGTGCTACCAGTCTCAGTGCTACCAAGCTATCTGCAGCCACTGCGGCCTGAGTCCGATCCCTGGCCAGGGAGCTGACCCATAGGGCACAGCAGACCTCTCCTGTCTCCTGGCTGCTCCCCTCAGCAGTGTGTTTCAGTGGACCCGCCTGCTCTGCTCCCCACTCTGTCTCTGGGGAGTCTTCTCACCCCCTGCACCTCTGGCCTGCACCCCAGTTCTCTATGCATAAATAAATAAAATAAATCTTTTAAAAAATACCTAAATCTTCCTAATTTAAACATTAAGTGCAAATTTATTTTAAATGTATTTGTTCTCAAGGGTAGACATGCACGTCTTATTTTTGATGGGAGTGGGGAGAGGTTGGCATATTCTGTTAAAATTTATGGCGAGGCATTATAGCCAAAATAATACAAGTGGAAAGCAAATTTAAACATTATTTAAAAAGTTGGTGTCTTCAGAGTCTCATGAGTCTCACTCACAACCACATCACCTGACAGAAAATGAGGTGTATTTATCACCATGAAAACAGACCAAAAAGGTATGGTTTGGCTCATTGTCAGAGCTTTCTTTGTGTTGAGAATGAAAAAAAATCCTCAGAAAGAGGCCTTTCGTCCTTAAAAGGTTTTAATTCTCATGGTGTCAAACAAGGCAGACAGGGTGATGGCAGGACCCCCACGCACGCCTGGGCTGGGGGCTGAGGCCCAGCCGCCCCTCTGGCCGGAGTGGGGGCATGCCAGGGACCCAGCCCCGCTGTGGGTTCTCCTGGGGCCCTCGCCCAAGCTCCCACTTGTCACCGGGACCAGCAGCCCTGGGGGAGCCTCCGGCCACGTCAGGCCACCCAGAGGGGCCCCGGCCCTCCTCCTCCCTACAGCTCGAGGTGTTACTCTCCTCTTACGTTCAGTTCTTTAAGATTTTTTAAACTCTTAGCTTTACATCTGGATTTCCAAGCGTTAAGAAATCCCGACATTCTCAAGCAACGTTTTCTGCAGTCGGTGAATGGGGATGTGCTCATCCACCCGGCTGGGGGCGCCTGCTTCTCAGCCCGTCGCAGCTGGGGGCGTCCTCTCCATGAGGGGCGGCCGGCGGGAAGTGGAGGCCTTGTGGGAGGCCCTGGCCACAGCGTGTGGTCACAGCGTGGGCTGGAGACGGACAGAGTGACTGCGTTTCCATGGAAACTGCCAGAAGGTAGGCCAGGTGGGGAGCTGGGGGTGCCCAGCCACATCCTCCAGAGCCGGCACCACCCTCAGCTGGCACGGCCTGCACTGGGGCTGAGCCGGGGGCCCTGCCCCACAGAGTCAACCGCTTACTTTAAAAGATTCCCCAGGCACGGCTCTCCCGTGCTGTGTCGCCGACCCCCTGGGCTGGCTCCCAGGCTGCCCTGGCCGGGACTCAGCGGCTAGATAGGCTGGAGACCGCCTCTGACCACGTGGCAGTGACATGGCTGGCCTGGCTGCGAGGGCGCAGGGAGCTGCGCCTTCCGTGCCCCTACCCCGACTGAGCCAGGCGCGGGCAGTGAGCACAGGCGCGGAGATGCACGGTTCCCTCACCACTTTTAAGAGAAACCATGGACGTGTAAGGCCAGGCCTGGCCACAGCTGCAAGCGTGTCTGTAGACTGGAGTGACCCGCGGGTGTGCCCTCACCCAGGACCGCAGCCAAGACGCCCCTTCCTGCCTGAGGAGATGCGGCTCTGAGGACACCCCCTCTGCCTCGTCGTATGGATGGGAGATGAGACTCACAGGGGCAGGCGGGGGACACGGCCGCCTCTGCCGGCCAGCCTCCTCCTGGGACGCACCTCCTGCCCAGCTTCTGGCCGTGCTGCACCACGCGGAGCAGCTGGGGCTCCGAGGCTCCTCTCCTGTCTGCCACAGCGAAGACACTCGCTGCTCACGTCGGCGCTCGGTGCCGGGCCTGGGGTGGCTCCCACTTGTCTGGCGCCCCCTCCGCCCACTCCCGGCCTCCAGGCCGTGTCTGCACACCTTGGTGACCCGCGGGCTGGCGCGGCAGCCCCGGCGGAGGCCTCGCTGTCAGAGCTGCACATACAGAGCTCGCCCTCCTCTTGGCTCCAAGCACTGTTCTTTTAAAATTAGCCCCAAAACAAACATGTAAATGAAAAGACTGTGAAAGCCCCATAACATGACTTTCAAGGCTGCCTCTGTGCTGCCCAGGCACGCGTGGGAGAAGCAGGCCTGAGCTGCAGGCTGGGGTCGGGCGGGGGCGCGTGGGGGCGGCAGGTCCCTGGGGGGCTCGCCCTGCAGCTCCTCCCCAAGCATGTCCGCCAGGTGTGCGAGCCCGGCCCGGAGGCTCCCCTGCGGGGCTTGGGCCCTCCGCCCCCTCCCAGTGGACTCCCCCCGGGCCCTCAGGGTTGGTGGCCAGCAGCCCTGGGGCAGGACAGCACAGAGCTGCGGCCGGCCTGGCCCAGCTGCTTCCGGGGTCGCGGGGCGCCCGGGGCCTGGCCTGCGCACGCAGGGGCCTGCCACTCGGGCCTCAGCTGTCGGGCCAAGCAGCCTGGAGCGGGGAGCCTGGCCGGCCTGGCCGCCCACTGAGCGGCGCTGCCGAGGCCCCCGGGAACGCCGAGGGGCTCCTGCCCAGTGCGGCCAACGTACCTACGCGTCCTGACGTCCCACTCTAGCGGGCGCGTCCGGGCTGCTGCCGGAGCACATGCACGTCCAGCAGCAGAGCCGCGGCCTAGCAAAGGCTGGGGAGCGGAGCCAGGTTTGGAATTGGACTCGAGGACCCATGCAAAAAAAAAAATACAAAGGTGACTGGTGTAGCTGGCCGCGGCAACGAGACCACCCCTGACCGCCTGTCTGCCGCAGCGCCCGCCCCCCGAGCGGCTCCCGGAGGGAGGCTGGGGGCTTACTCACCTTCAGCGGGTTACACTGAGTCTAAGGTTCGTCTATCCACCCAGCCCCAGGACGGGGCGGGACGGGTGCTCGCCTCCCGGGCCAGGCCCAGGGCAGTGCCGCTGTGATGGAGAGTGGCCGGCCCGGCCGGCCTTCCCGCGGTCAGGGCGCCCACTTGGGCCGCCGGGGAGGGGCCTGCGGGGCTCTGCTGTACACGGTCCTGCTCTCAGCACCGGACCCCGCGGCACGGGCACAGGTGCTTGTACCCCACTCCGTGTGGCCGCCAGAAAGCGGGGCATGTGGAGGACATGGTCAAGCCCTGTAGACATGCACTGGAAGGGGCCAGGGGACTGGCCGCGCCTGGAAAGACCCGACACCAGGCCCTCCCGTAGCCCCGGACCCCGAGGAGCTGTGCACGGGAGAGCAGGTGGACATGGGACCGTGTGGCCATGGGGCACGAGATTCTGCTCCCCTGCCCACAGGCAGCTCAGATTGAAGGAGGCCACGGCTCCCAGGGCCACTGCGTTCCTGAGGGGACAGGCTGCGGAGGCCGGAGGACTGGGGCCTGACGTTCTCGGCCTTGCCTTGCCCATCCGGCCCGAGTCTTCTGTCCACCAGGCTGTGGGCTGGTCCCTGGGCGTGTCTCCAGGAGAGATGCAGTGACCGCAGCCCCCTGCGCCTGCCAGGCCCGGGCCGCTCGCCCACCTCTGTCCCAGAGCCCCTGGGCCCTGCTCTGTGGCACCGGCCTTGCACCCCCGCTGCCCCTTCTACTCGGCTCCCCTCTCAGGAGAGGAGCGAGTCTGGGGCTCGCCTCTTCCCGGGACCTCTGCCTTCCCCTGGCCTCATCCTGCTTTTCAGTCCAATCTGCAAATGACAGTCTCTTTGCTTTGCAAAAGTATTTAGAAATAGAGCAACAGTCAGGCCTCCGTCATCACAGGAAGCGGCGGCTGCTGTGAAAGCCGCACCAGCACCGCCGAGCGCTGACCGGGGCCCTCCATGGATGCCTATGCCCATCGTCCTGCAGGCCCTGCTGGAGCCTGCGCCTGGGGTCCACCGCTTGCCACCCTTCCTCCTCGGACCAGTGGACATCTAGGTGTC